GCCATTAATACCTTCAACGCATTCATCGATATCTGAAGATTTCATTAGTGATTACTTTAACTGTCCACTTCACTCAATAACTTCTAGTTGTAGATCATCTTGTGAGAAAGGATCATTTTTAAGGAAACACTCAGTGGAGGTTCATTGGAAACTAATCAGTTGAAAAATCCATGGAACTTGGTGGCACTTATCCTTTGGAAATCATCTCGATGATTAGATGAAAACAATACGTACTTATGCACTGCGTTCCATCGGGTGAAAGTGTATAGCCACTTTGACAAGTACAATTGTACTCAGTACCATAGTCTACGCATAACATATCCACACCGATACACATAATTTCACTCTTACATGGGATACCCAATGGTGTCTTCACCTGAATTTCATTTTAGCAGTTTGATGACGATAACGAACCCCGTACTGTTCTCGCTATTGATAGTATTGTTGACTTCTGTTGATAGTAAATGATAGTAAATGAAATGAAGTGTTCCAGCTTTAACAAACTCACAGATGCAAACTAAAACGTGTACCTGACATTTACAGTGATCAATAGGTATACAGTTATTCTCGAAATCCAGTTCAAATCCTACAGGACAACGACATTTAGGCACAATTAGTTCTTCGACTCTTGTTGGTCTACATGTCGCATCCCTACCACATCCACCTGAAATTACAATTCATCCGAACTAGCGAACTAATCCATGGTCCACAATCCTAGTATCCAGCACATTCAATCGCACTTTATGCCGCTATTTTCACCCTATCCAATCAGCTTGTTATAAAGGATTCTGATTAACTTATCAATTTGATGCACTCTGATTTAATTCCGCCCTCCTCAACTAGACTAAATTCATCAAACGAACGAAATCTGCGGTATATTAAGCATGCCAAAGATACCGACCGTTGTCTATAAGGCATGGATCCGGAACGCACATATCGACAGCATTATTGAGGAATCCTTCCTTGCAAACGCAATACGCTTCGTTATTCGCTGACTTACAAACCTGAGTAATAATGTCGCACGGATTGAATGCAGCACATGCATCCATCACTGCAATCAATGAAAATCATTATTTGAGCATTCATTTCCTGGCCGATATTAGAGCAGCTTGTAAAACGAACATTCACAACCCTTTCCGTACGGATCACCGGCATAACCTGGTGCACATTCGCACAGGTAAGATCCAGGTATATCTATGCATTTTGCACCACTACCGCATGCTCGTCTCAGTTTGCCGTTCTTCTTGACACCCTGAAGAGAGAACAACTTTCATTTCGATGCAACCATATCAGTGCCCCTTT